GTAACTCAAAGCGGAAAAAAGTGAGCCGCATTAGATCCTGGAGATGTGACATCAACGCCTTAGGTGCAAAGAGCCCATAGTGTCTTTTTCTGTTTTTGGGGCGGACAGAGTGCCTGTTTGTAAACGGACCATGGATGCCAAAACAACAGGAAATATCCGTTTTCTTGTGGAGGTAGTTGCCGATAAGTTGGCATCAAAGTAGGCAGGTATTAAAAGCAAAAATATCATGATGGTTTAATGTCACACAGGAAAGGAACAGGAATTAAATAATCAGCCTCTGAGTGGATAATAAACCGTTTAAAAGGTTCATAAAACAGCATTTGTCTGAACAATTCTTTTACGATTAAGCATCGAGTTTGATATGGAGGAAAACCAAGCTTTGGGAAACTCCTACTTGTCTTGTTCTCTTCCAATTAGCAGGAATAATCTGAACTATTTTTTTATGTGGGTCAAATCTGTGGTTGCGTTACTATGGGAACAGGATAATCACTGTAGACGTTTAACTGTGGTTATCAGGTCTCATTATGTGCAGCTGATACGCCCAACCGTTTTTATGAGCGGTTCTTCTCAAAGTTCAGTCTGCACCAACACCGACTGCCATTTTATTACAACGGCACGTTCACGTTTAGTAATGTCATTATTTAACGACTGAAGTGAAAACTTTCTGCCGCCTTTCGCTGTGCATCGGCAGCGATGGAGTTCCTACGAACAATATGAGAATGAACTGAGCACTAGTTTTTATTCATTAGCGGGTTTTCCACTTTAGCAGAAAGATTCGGGGCCATTTTCCAGGAGGGGTAGCTGAAATTCAGGTGAAAGCTGATAACAGAGTGATTATTTGGCTTCTATCAAACTGGGACCGCAAAAGCCAAACCACACCCAGTTAAGTCAAGCTGGTAAATGTTAGTAAATGGGAGGAGCAGAGCCTCACCCATAATCTGCCCTGTAGCTCAGGTTAAAGAAACAACTCCATTCAGTGTAAATCAGTGCTGTTATCATAGCAACGTGCTCACTGTAAAACTTTAAAGTGTTTTATTCCAGTCACGAATTTGTGCATTAACTTTAATTGTGTATGTTTGTTTTCTTACCTGCTTGTTCAGCAGTAGGGCCAGATTATCAATGACTTTATTAATCAGAGCAGCTAGTCTACCTGTTTTAAACTATTTTTTTTCCCTTTTACATAAAGAAGCTTTTATTTTTTCCCTACACATCCCTCCGTTGTGAAGGCTGAAGGAGGGAACTAAGGAGCCAACTTAACAGGGAAAATGATAAACTTCCCGTTTTATATATGTTGAAATCTCTAAAGTAAAGCTGAGCACTTTATTTTAGAGAACACTTCCTATTGTGCATCTAAGGTATTTCGCACTGCATGTCAGAGGTTGTTATTGAGACGCTCGTTGCCATGCATGCTGCTGAGTAAGAGGGAGTGGCTGAGAGGATGGACTGGAAAGATGAGTTGGCTGTGGAGGAATGTGTCATTTAGCTGTGAAATCCCTCGGTTTGTTGGTTCCCTGTTAGCAGGCTGACATTTACTCTGCACCAACCACAGAAATGCTTGGATTTAGCTGCAGGAACTCTGGAACCGACTGTCACCAAACATCATGGCGATGACTCAGTCCAGCTTGGAAAAACAAGCTGGACTGGAAAAACAGTCAAAGTCTTATCTTAAATTTTAGTGATGATATTTAAAGTTTGTCAAATGTAGATTGTTATACAAGTGTTACTGCTCTGGCTATGCAAGTCTTTGTCAGTATTTCAGCAAATGTTAAATTGCACAACTCGGTTTGAAAGATTTTTTTTTTTTTTTTTAGATGGCTCTCTCTGCAGTCGAGCTTTTCCTTGTTCCAGTGAACAACTTCCAGCATCTGTAGAAAGATCTCTACTCAAACAGTGGAGAAAATACTATTACAAGGCATTAAAGTCAAAAATGTAAAACACAATCTTAATGCTTCTATTTAAAGTTTAAAAGAAGCAACTGTTCATTTAAAAAAAATAAATACAGATTCTTCTTAACAATCATTACAGTTCTATCTTTGTTTGTGCAGTAAATCAGTGGCTACATTCCTGAAGACCTCAGTCTGGACCTGATTAGTAAACCTATGTTTCTTAGAGCATTCCTGTCATAAAGCAATCAGAGCATAACGTCTACATTTACATTTTCTTGACACAGCGTTCAATCCAAGTTCAACTTTACTCTCTGATTAAGCTGCGTCGAATTTGATAGGAGTGGGAATTCGGAGTGGAGTCTCTCCAGGTTGTGAAAGACGCTTTAAATGATGACTCACCCTTTATTTAATTTCCTGCTGTCGGCACAAATAATCAGTCCTGCTCAGACTCTGTCGAGGTTTTTATGAGGATTTACCCTGGGCGGTCCTGAGTAGGTGCAACAAACTCTGCACTTCTCCACCTCTTATTACAAACACAGAGCGTTGATGCAGACGGAGGATTAGGGCTGTACTAAGAAAAAATTAAATTGCGAGAATAAACTTGCATGAGGATAAAGTCATAACACCTCGAGGACGAAAAGTCGTAATTGTTTTTCTTAGCATGGCCCTAGAACTCGTCATAAGAAAATGTGAATAAAGTTTAAAAATATTTAACTTCATGTGAGCCTCTGTCACTACGTCACTGATTTGACAGATGAAATGGTTCCAACTGGAGATCGGTCATGTCTTACAGCTTGACAGTAAGTGTCCCAAATGTCACCTCCAGGTTCTGTGCTTCACTGAGGCGCAAAAGGTGAATCAAGCAGGACCAGCGCAGATGCAGATGCAACAGAAAGCTCAAACCAAACTGCCACCACAGCTGCTGAAGGTGGTAAAAAAGCAATAAAAGAGGATCTGTTACCTGATACTACTACTAACAAAGGGTCTGGGTGGTAACATGGTCCATGGAGGAGAGTTTACTTCACATTCTGCTGCCCTCTTTCTCTTTTGTCGCTCTCCTGATGCCATTTGTGGCGCCGCCATTAAATAATCCAGGAAGCAAACAGAAGGTGGAAGAAGCAACTTGGCCCAACATTCCAGAGTCCTTTTGCTTTTACACGATGCTGCGTTGTTATGCTTTTTCCATCTGCCGCTTCCCGTTACACTAAACGGGCAAAACTCGTTTCCTCTACTGGTGTAGCTGTGATGGTGAGAAATAACTACTGTGACGCTGCAAAGCTGCAGTGCCAGGTCACTGGAGTTAAATGGGTTTTACTTTTGGATGCACAGTAAAGGAAAAGACGAGATCTGGAGGAAGGAATAACAACATGGTGGAGGGATGGTCTGATGTTCTGTAATGACTTCTAAGGTCTGGATCTTTGCTTCTTTTTTATTTTAAAGGGATGAAGGGTTTAAGATATTTTGTACTTTTCTCTCTTGTGCTACATTTGGGTCTTCACGACTGATTCCTACACTCATAAACATCTTTACACCTTTTGAATTTTCCCATTTCGTCACATTACAACCACAACTGTAAATGTACTTTATTGTGTCTGGCATTTATTTTTATTCAGCCCTCCTTTACTTTGATACCCTAAATAGAATTGGGTGCAACACATTGCCTCCTGAGGCCACATTTGGATGACTGTATAATTTAGTCTTAACATGGCCCAGTCAAAGTCCAGGGCAAGATGAAATCTGACTGAGCTTGATGTGTTTTGATTTGGTCTCAAGATGTGCAAATGTGGTAAATATACACCAAAAAAATCAGCAGACATAATTCCAGGAAAAAGCGATTCTGCAGTGAAATAATTGAAAGAGCTGAGTAAATGCACATGCATGCCAAATTTAACAGTTTTATTTGTAAATAAAATATAAATAACTACATATCCTTTGCCTCCACTTCTCAATTAGACACTCTGAATAAAATACATTGAAGTTTGTGGTTGTGATGTAAAGCCGTTGGTGTTTGGAGTCTTTTGGTATTATGGACGCTACGGAAATGCGTCTTTTTTTTTTTCTATTAAGTGATGAGTTAAAACATACTTTTGCTACCTTTAACAGGTTTAGATAGTTTTTATAGAGTATAAACGAATCCTTTCATCACTTAATAAACAAAATGACCATGAAAACACTTCTTTTTAAAAAAATGTTTTAGTTTGGTCTGCTTCTTCTTCAGTAAATCTAACTGGTTTCCTTTCATCTGCAGACCCTGAAAACCCTGGATGTGAACGACGACCTCCACTCCAGCTTTGGCCAGCTGCTGAGCCAGCTCAACAAGTCGAACGCTCCGTATGCCCTGAATGTCGCCAACAGGCTCTACGGCGAGCAGTCCTACCAGTTTGTTCAGGTGTGACTTGGGGTGGGAGGGGGTTTCCTTTCAGCACTAGAGTGGATGTTCCTGAGTGGGTGTGGCTTTCTGTACATGCTAAGACCGACCGAATGAGGGCAGAAAAGCGGAACGCCGCATAATCCAGGACACATGCATCTACATTCGCTTGCTTTTGTTTCAGGATTACCTTGAGAGCACTAAGAAGCACTACCAGGCAGAACTGGAGACCGTGGACTTCGCCTCGAACGCCGAGGCAGCCAGGGTCAACATCAACGGCTGGGTGGAGAAGCAGACACAAGGTGGATCACACGCACCCACACACACCTCAATGTGTCACTAAGCATTTAAAATGTCTTCATCAAACATTAAAATGATGAATTCATCATTTTTATGTGCTTATTTATTTAAGTTAATAAATAAGTTTGACTGATTTTTCTTTTTTTAAGTGATAATTTGTGCTATTTTTGTGTATAGGTATTTCTTCTAATTTGCCTCATACATGTTTAATTATTTATTTTTAATCATTTTGAATTCATTTTTATGCTTATTGCATATATATATATATATATATATATATATATATATATATATATATATATATATATATTTTTAAATAATGTGATATTTTTTTTTTTTTTCCAAGTTTA